AAATCGCTTAGTGAAGGAGGAACCTCTTAAATCTTTCCTCTTATTCCCCCTACTCTCATCTCTATACTGTAATCTATTAGAAACTCTGAATACAACAGAAAACTCTATCTTTATTAATCAAGAATATACAAGACCATGTATAAATATACGGCCAGTAACAATTAATTAAAGATATATATCAACGGTTATGGATAATTACTAATTAATTTTATCATAATCAAGAGATATATACCCATACATATATATATATATCCATATTGATATGTATTCATAATGATGTATCTCAATATAGATATCCATACGCTAACACTCCCCTTAAAGATATATATCAACGGTTATGGATAATTACTAATTAATTTTATCATAATCAAGAGATATATACCCATACATATATATATGTATTCATTATGTATTCATAATGATGTATATCAATATAGATATTCATACGCTCACACTCCCCTCAAACTCAAGATGCTATGCAAGGTAGCTGGAGTTTTAGCATAAGTTGTATAAACGAACAAGTTGGATTTTTAAGTCTTCATGTGCATGACATGACCAATAGAAGCGGTGCTCTCTTGCTTGAATAAGAAGTACAAAATGATACTTTACATAATGACACTTGGAAGACAAAATGACACTTGGAAGAGCCAACATAACTCAGTGTGGACCCAAGATAGAGTCAGCAATCGCAGTCTGAGATAGATTCAACAACTCGCAGTCCAAAACACAGGCCAGAACAAAGACACAGGTCGTTTGGCAAAGAGTTGAAACACGACTCGACAGAGAACCGAAACACGATTTGGCAGAGAGTCGAAACACGACTCGAAGGCATTTGGCAGTGCTTCCTTGGTCTATGATTTCTCTCACTGGAGAGAGAGTATTGATTGATTCAACCATGGACGAAAAGAAGAGCTGGAGTTTTTTGTACAAAGGGGAAGTCTTTTCATGCGATGGAGGCGCGTGGTTGTTGAGAGCGCAAGTAGGGCTCACGTGCAAACAAAAATCACAAAAGTGAGAACTAAATCACAAAATATTAGTGTGCGCGAGTAGGGGGTTCAAAATCAGAGAGCGCAAATAAAAACATGGAGCCAAGGATCTCGTGCATGACGGATCTTATGCAAGGTGGAAAGGAAGGGCTAAAGTCAAGAGATCAGTATACCAAAGTTTTGCACACACGTCAACACTAGGAAATCTCCTTGTGAAGAGAACAAATTTGTGGGATATGTTGGGAAGGAACTATGTGGGATCTGTTGGGAACGAACTATGAGAGGACTCTTTCTCTCAATGGGAACGAATTCTTAGAGAGAAAGAGAGAGAGAGTCAACCACTTGAAGGAATTGAATGAAGACACGTATATCCAAAGGCCAAGGCTAAAGCAGCAGAGTACCAAAAGCTTCTTGCCAGTAGGCTCAAGGAGCAGCGTGAGAGGAGGAGCGAGAGCTTTGCTAAGCCAAGAAGAGATCGAGGTTGTCCGCTGTATCAAAGCCAATCGATGGCATAGGGTTGTAGCCAGAAACACATGAAGAAACGTAGAGAGAGAAAACCAGATTACTTAGGAGAAAGAGACTTTGCGTTTAGAGAGCTGATACCATGATGCAACCTCAGATCTTGACATTGAGGAGCCTATCGCTTTAATACCATACTAGAAACTCAGAATACTGCAGAGAGCCCGCTCTTTATTAATAAAAAATATACAAGACACTCGTATAAATATACAACCTTTAACAATTAAAGATAAATACCAACGGTTATGAATAATTATTAGTTATCATAATGAAGAGATATATACCCATATATATACATATCCATACTGAAATGTATTTATAATGATGTATATCAATATAGATATCCATACGCTAACATAATCTCCACCTCTTTTTTCTTCTCTCTCCCTTTCCTTTTGTTTTTTTCTTTCTTTCTTTTTCGTTTTTCATTTGCTGCTTGTATTTTTTTTATTTACTCAATGAAATTTTTGCTGACTGTTTTTTTTGTCCAATTTGAAAATCTTAACAAATTTCAAGTTCTTTGCATCCCTAGGGGTGTTTTTTGTAATTTCGTTTGAGCAATGAGTCAAATTACCAAAAGTGATTACATGCTCCCTTGAGAGCATTTTGTTCATTTAGGGTAAAATTCAATTAAGGAGTAATTTTGGAAACCCGGGAGGGAACCTTTTCAACCCAGATATTGAACTCAAATAAAAAACAATTTCTAATGACAGGTTTTAAGATTTAATAGTGACTATCCAATTTTTAAAGGATGAGATATAAGTGTTAAAGAATGAAAATAATCATTTAGTGATTGTTGAAGTGTTCTCAAAATTTTATATTACAAGAGTCCACCCCAGTAAATCTTCTCTCCAAGGGGTTGGCTTTACCGAATGCTCCTATTGATGAATAATATACATGCTCTCAACCTTGAACAGTGGTATTTAGAAATTTTCATATCCTCAAATTTTACAAAATAGAACTTGAAAACTAGAACTTAGAGTAATAATTGAGATCTTTAGAGCCTGATTTTGTAAGATAATTTAAGCCCTTTTGTCCCTTTATATTGATGTTTAGCCGAACTTTTTTAAGGCACATGTTGTAAACTAACATTATTATTGTTTCTATATATACGATTAAGCTCAAATTTATGATGTCCTTACTTCTCAACATCACACCTTAATAATAAAAATAAAAAAATAAAAAAAGATTAAAGAAATAAAATGACCAAAATACACTTGAAAATTATGAGGTTAGTTAAAGTATTTTATTTTCTTGAATTAATTTTTATACTTTTTATTAAAAATTAAAAAGAATTATCTTTAAATTTGAAATAAAATGGGATTTTCTATCAATTTACTATAACTTTTCCTAGATAATAGTACATAGGAATTTGATTTAGACATTTAAAAAATATAAATATGCTAATAACAAATTTGATATTAATTTGTGTTCTATTTCAAAATTAAAAGGGAAATTACATATTCCTCCTACCTAAAAGAACATTCACAAAGGACCTCCCAACAAAATACCTTTTCACACCAAATGGCTTGGCACTATTTTTCTTCACATTTACCTCTAATAAAATTTATGGGTAATCATCATCATCATTGGAGCTTTAACCCAACTATCTAGGGTTGGTTATATGAATCTTTTTCCACCATTTTGCTTTATCAAGGGTCATACAATCAGTAAAACCATAAGTCACCATATATTTTCTCACTATTACCATTTATGTCATTTTGAGCCTTTCTCTTGCCATTTTAGAGCCGTCTACTTGAAGCAAATTACACCTCCTAACCAATGTTGTATTATGTATGTGCCACGCATGGCCACGTGACCTAAGTTACTTTCCTTCATTTTATTGCCTATTGAGGTCACACCTAATTCTCATGAATGTAATCATTCTGAATTCTATTATCTATTGTCTTGCCATTCATCCATCTCAACATTCTCATCTCAATTATACTCATCCTATGAGTAAGTTGTTTGTTGACTGCCCAACATTTTGTCCCATAAAAAATGATTGGTCTTACAGTTGTCCTATACAACTTCCCCTTCAGTTTCATTGGTATGCACCAATCACATAAAACTCCAGATGTATATCTCTACCTCGCATACCCAGCTCTAATTCTATATGCAATGTCTTCCTCAATCTCTCTAGTCTTCTGGATTATCGACTCAAGACATAAAAAATAATATCTTTTGGGTTTGTCTTATCCATCAATTTCAACTACTTCTTTATTTTTACTCTTATTATTACTAAACTTGCATTTCATATTTATGTCTTAGTCTGGTTAATTTTAAAATCGTTAGATTTGAGAACACTCAGGTTGACAAAACTTTTAGTATCATCAATCAAAACTGTGTCATCCATGAACAACATACACTACATTACCTCATCTTGTAGGCTCTTAGTTAACTCGTCCATAACCAAAACAAAAAAATATAGGCTTAGCACCTGACCCTTGATGTAAGCCTATTGTTACTAAAAACTCACTAGGCTCTCCACTAGTTGTCTTCACACTAGTTAGCATTGTGTCATACATATCTGTCACTTGATATAGCCTTTGGAAACTCTATTCTTTTCGAAAATCCATAAAATTAAGTCTCTAGATACCCTAGAGACTTTTGGGCAATCTAAGATAAAAATGCCCTCAAGTTGGTTTGGCATTGCAAGTGCGAAACTGACAAGGTAAAATATGAATCCTAGAAGTTTAAAAAGAAAAAAATGAACCGAAAGTTGGTTCAGAACTTGGAGTGTCAAACCCACTTTCATTCATTTTTTGCTTTTTTTTACTCGAAATCGGTTTGACACTTGAAATGCTGGACCAACTTCTATTCAAAAATTTCCACCCGCTTAACAGAAAAATTGTCCTATATTTACTTGAAGGTAGATGCAGTGAAAATCATTATCGAGGTATAATAGTTTGACACAAATTTGTTGCGGGAATCTGTGTAGGATCTTTTAGGTAAGAGGGTGTATGTTGTCATCATCATCAAAGTCTTTACCCAACTAATTGGGGTCGGCTAGATAAGAGAATGCATGTAATTTTCCCAAATAAAATGTCAAAAAACAGTCTATTTTAATAAATTTAACTTTCGACATCCATAGTCACTGGGTTGCAAATTGCTCCCCATGATCCATTGAGATTTCAATGCCAGTACAAGGTAAGTGACATGTTTACTTGCAAATTCAAATTCGTAATGTTCTTTTATAAGGACATGTAACTTATAATAAAAAAAGAGTTCTTAATTGTGATAAAAATGGGACTGGTAATCAGAATCAAAATTTATCATGACAAATCTCTAATAGTTGTAGAGGATCTCTGATCTCTCTCAGGCGTCCTTGAAGTTAGTTAGCATTCTATTAAGTTATTGCAGTATGTAGTGTATCTACGTACTTGACTTCAAAGTGGGTCAGCATTGCTTTTCAGTAAGAGTTTTGAATTTGCATCAATGATTACATTTGTATGGTTTGTGAATGAATGAATGTACACAGGCTCTTCAAAGGGCTCACCAGTAGTCCTTACAAGAACACAGCCCCCTTTCAAACCTGTGGAAACGATTGGAGTCCCTTACTATAATGTCTCTACCATAAATCTTAGACACTAGCTTAAACACATTATGACAATCCCCACAAACCCTCAAGTTCTTTGTAATCCTGATGAGCACCCCTTTTCCCTTCTTTATCAGCCCATAAGCCAATGCTATTCTCTCACTATGCAATGAGAGCCTCTCTCCCTTCACCCCCTCCTCTACCTCATGCAACACAAAGCTTGTATCAGGTACATAGCCCTCACATCTCAGTTTCTCACTCATCTCCCCCATCTTCTCATGTATCTCACCCCACTCTGGGTGCCTGAAATCTCCTACAACAAATGAATGAACCAAACCACCATCCTCAATTGAGCTGCAACCTGCTTCTTTCTTCATATTTCTCTCTCTCATCATCTCTCTCAGCCTTAGAGATTCCCCCCATTTGCCCTCTGCGGCATACATATTTGCTACCAGCACATAATAACCAGCTTCTTCGGGCTTCAATTCCAAAACTCTCTCGGCCGCCATTCGTCCAAGCTTTACATGCCCGTGCATCCTACAAGCACCAAGCAAAGCCCCCCATACTACATCATCGGGCTCGATGGGCATACCTTTTATGAGCTCAAATGCTTCTCTCACAAACCCAGCTCGACCGAGCATGTCAACCTTGCAGGCATAATGTTTTGCCTCGTAGGTCATACCATGTAGAGTCACCATAGATTCAAAGTACTGCTTTCCCTCATTCACTAGGCCAGCATGGCTGCAAGCCGAGAGCACCGAAACAAACGTGCTCGAATTTGGTTTTACTCCATCTTCTCTCATGTTTTTGAATGTCTCTAAAGCCTCAGTGCCATGGCCGTGTATGCCATAGCCGAAGATCATGGCATTGTGGGTTATGACATTCCTGTCGGGCATCTCGTCAAAGACCCTCCTAGCCTCCTCAATGAACCCACACTTAGCATACATGTCTATGAGAGCGGTGCCTGTGATCACATCTATGTCAAACCCATGCTTCGCAGCATGGCCATGGATGCATGACCCAAGCCTCAAGTCCGCCAATTCGGCACATGCATCAAGCATGCATGCCATTGTGGCATAGCTGTGCTTAAAACCCAATTCCTGCATCTCCCGAAAGAGGATCGATGCCTCATCCATCATTCCACAATGGACATAACCTGATATCATGCATGTCCACGACACATCCGTCTTCTCCATAATCTCATCAAATAATTGTCTGGCCATGCCAAGCTTACCACACTTTGCATACATGTCGATGAGGCAATTATACACCGTGCTATCATACGAAAGCTTTCTGCGCACCACCAGACCATGGACACACCGCCCATGATCCAGAGCATGCAGCCTTGCACAAGCAGGCAAAACAGCCGCCATGGTCGAGACTCCAGGCTCAAAGTCCATCTCTAACATCTCCCTAAAAATGGCTATGGCCTCCAAGTCAAGCCCATTATAAGCATAACCAGCAGTCATTGCATTCCAACACACCGCATTTCTTTCACTCATTTTGTCAAACACTTTTCTTGCATCATCAATGCAGCCCAATTTCGCATAAACATCGATCAGTGCAGTGGAAGAATAAACATCCCATTGGAATCCTAATCGGACCAGTCGGCTATGGGATTCTAATGCAATGGGTTTGTTAGTAAGAGAAGAACACGACTTCAGAATAAAGGGGAACGTGAACTCGTCGGGTTGGGTTTGCGAATTGAGCATTAGAGAATAGAAACTGAGGGATTTTTCATGGTGGCCATGGGTTGTGAAGCCTCTGATAATGGTGTTGTATGAGAAGGAGTGCTTAATGGGGGTTTGATGAAATTGGGTTAGAGCAGAGGGCATGCAGTTGTAGAGAGAGTACATGGAGATAAGGGTGTTGGAGAGAGAGAGGGGTTGAGGGTTGTGGGTTTTGAGAAGATGAGCGTGAAGTTGTTGCAGAGAGGGGAGGTCTGGAGAGTGCCGAAGACAAAGAGAAAGAGAGTTCAGAGAGAGAGCTGGGCTTTGGGGTTCAGAACGGGACGACAGGGAGAGAGTTTGGAGGGGAATTGCCATCATTTATCGTCACAGAGAGAAGTTTGTTGCAGGGTTTTTGGGATTTGTAGGGAGAATGGAAATGTTCTTCACCTGTGTTTGCCAAATTTCTCGGTCAGTCAATCAAACATTGTATTTTTATCCTCTTCTCTTTTTTCTTTTTGGGTTTGTCATTTATTGATGACATTTAAATTGTGTGTATCTGTAAGTTCTTGCATTAACCTTACTGGTCATTGTATACAGATTGAATGCCATTTTATCTTGTTTGAAGATGGGACTATTAATTGTTCTAGGGAAAAAGTTTATATAAGGATGCAACCGTAGAACTACGGATGCACCTCAAAAAAGGGAGTTTTAATGTATCAGAATTCTCGTATTGACTATGACGGCTCAAAATACTATTCCAAATGTTACGTCTAAGTCAATAAATGAGCACAAGGAAATTCTTGTGGATCAAAAGATAGAGAAAGCTACACACACATACACACATATATATATATATATATATATATATATATACATATATATATATATATCCGTTATTGTTTACATTATTACAAAAGTGTCCGTTTTTATCATCCATAACACCATTTTTTAAAAAGGACAAGTTTGCCCTTTTTTGGATGTTCAACATCCAAAAGTATTAGAAATTCGGATGTTGAACATCCGAAATTAGCCGCAGCTCGAACAATGTTTTTTCCCGTTTTCTGATGTACAACATCCGAATTTTTGAGATTTTCTGATATTGAACATCCGAAAATCGCGCAACTGTAAATTTTAACTTCGATGAGTTTTTTTCTGCATATTTGAACATTGGCTCAGTGTTCTTGACCTGTGAGTTCTTTTGTGTGCCTATTTGATATCTCATTGGTAAAGATTAGTAAATAGTTCATAGATTTTGATTTTCAATAGTATACGTCATTGACAAACAACATTTCTTGGATTTTGAAGTCATTTCACAGAGTGAAGGTATGTGGGTCGATTTTTAATATTTAGATTGCCACATGATTTTTGGTTAGGGCTTATACTCAAGCATAGTAGTTATTTCTTGTGAATTTAGTATAGATTGAATTAATTTGTGGCTCCATTGCGATGGAATTAGATTTTTAAAATTTGTAGCTTTTGAGAGCTTGGAATTTTGTGGTCTCTGTAGAATTGTAAATATTTTTTAAATTTGGGGGTTTATACTAATGATTCAAGATATTCCATTGTTCTTGTATTTAGTTTGTCTTGCAACTATTCCTTTTAAATCAAGGATCTGAAGTCTAAACTCCCCATCTATTTCCTAAGCAGTAATTGTGCTAAAACTTGTCTCCCTCTCTCCATGTATCTTATAGTTACTTTCAAACTTGATTGATTTTACTTTGATTCTTCCTCAAATGAAACAATGTTAAATGTATTTAGAATTTTGTAATTAACATTTTGCTTTTTATCTTCTTTTATCTTCTACTTTTAGTACTAATGTTAAAACAAAGGTCTTGTAAGAGGTTAGAGTCAACTAAAATACCTTATATGACATGCACTAACTACTCTATTTTATTTTTTTGTTTTTTTATCTTTTGATTCTAGATTTCTTGCTAAACTTGATATTATTGTGGCTCCTAATCTTTTGGGAAATTTTTTTGCTAAACTTGATATTATTGGTCTCTGTAGAACTGTAAATATTTTTTTAATTTGGTGGTTTATACTCGTAATAGAACAAAATAATTGGGTCTATGCTTATTGGGTGTGTTTCTTGTAGATTGTGGTTTTGCTCGTGTTTTCAGTTATAATTTGGGGGTTTTGCTCCTGTTTATAAGTAGCATGATAGGTGACTATATCATTGGATTTAATTTGTTGCTTGTATTATAAGCAGCATTGTTCTCTGATATTGCTTGAAATTAAATTGAATTTTTTTTTTTTTGATGGAGTCGTTTGTCTATCTATAAATCGAATTATTCAGTTTTTGATTGAACTGCTTGGTTTTTTAATGGTTTGATTACTGAACTAACATGAATTCTTTTTTATTGATGCGATGATTTAGTTGCTTATGAAAGTTGGATTCTTGCCTTTACGATGAAATGATTAGTTGCTTATCAATGTCGAATTATGATGAAATGATTTAGTTACTCATTAAAGTTGAATTCTTTAGTTTTTAGACGAGGATGGTTACTTAGAAGGGGACTACTGTGTTTTTATTTGTTTATCCATCTAGGGTTTGGTTATTGTTTACCTGAGGTCCATTGAATTGGACTCGGTGTAGTATTTCATTTGGTTTTGAATTTGTTACTAATAAAAGAAGTGGATGAGGATAACGCATATCTGGTTAATTACGGGGTCTATGTACTAGTTCTTCAAGTAGAGATATTAAATTGGATTTAAGAACTGAATAAGGGACTGTTTTTTCGCTTTAGCCAATTATGGAAGTTGTTTAGTGGTTTTTGAAGAACTCTTTGAATTCTTCTTTCATCAATGGATTGTAGCACTGTTCTTCTTCATCAATAGCATGTCATTATTGTATTTTTGTTATCATGTTAAGTTTTGCATATGTAATCTTATGATTAACATGGTGGCCATATGGAATTTCAGTGAATATGAATCGTCTACATCCCGATGGAGGATATCCAAGAGGTCCTCAGGACCCTAGTTTGCTGCAACTTCATCCAGAACATGTATCATATTTCCTATGGGAAGGACATGTATATGCATATATTCAACAACCCATTCTATTTATTTGTTATTTTTTAATAAATTATTGTCAGGTTCAAACATCCTATGAGAAGTACATGTATATGTATTGGGACTAATATGTTTTCTATTTGTTGTATTTCAGGAGAAACAAGAAATTAGAATTGATGAGAAGAGTTATCAATTAAATGAATGAGATCTAACATAAGAGCAAGTCCAATTAGTAAATGGATCTGCGTTGGGTGCGCTATCTATTATTCGGCCAGGCCGAATTGATCATCCTTTGGTCTCAGCCAATGTAGAGAGGTCGCATTCTGAGACCAATATATTCTATTACAACATTCATATTTGTGAGATGACAACAACATTTTTTGTTGTATATGAGATATTAGGCCTGACTGTGAACAATGAATTAGTTACGTGTCGTCCTATCAGTGACCTACGACAATATATGGAAGACAATTTAGGTACAGTCCCTGATGGCAACATGACAAGCCTGAGGCATACATGGTTGAAGGCAGATTTTAGGGAATTTCCACCTGATGCAACCCTTGTTCAAGTTTAAAGATATACTCAAACATATATGCTCTTTCTCATCAGTGTCACAATATTCGCTGATGCATCAGTTTCAACAGTGCCAATAAGGTACTTGTAGTTTTTTGAAGATATTGAGGGAGCCAACAGATATGCTTGGGGTGCTGCAGCCCTTGCATACCTCTATCGCTCACTTGGAAAAGCTTATACTTTCAAGTGAAGACATTTTAGTGGTTCAGCCACTCTCATGCAGGTAACATTTTTTTTTGGTACATGACAAGCGTAATAGTTTAGACTGCTTTACTAAAATATTAATATTTATCATATCTAAATTTATTGCAATGCTAGTCGTATGAGCATACTATGCATATAAAGCCCATACCGTATAGTATCTCTCCAAATATGCCTAGGGCCAAAGTTGGGAGCCACCGAAGAAATATCATGGCAATCCACATAACCTAATGCCTCTCATCAGACAAGAATTTGATAACCTCCAACATAATGAGGTTAGTGTATAATTTGATATTGATTACTTTCAAATGTATTTAAATATTCGTCATTATTTTTATTGAATGATTGCATATCATATAACAGGTAATATGGAATTCCTATTTCAAGTCTGATGAGGTCATTTCAGATGATAGGCATCAGGCATATGAAACTGCAATGTGCATAACAATGCTCATATTTGACGCTATTGCCGAGTCGTACATGCCAGATCGAGTACGCTGGTAATTTGGAGCTAAACAGGGCATTCCTAGAAATCCCTTGGCTGTTGGTAAGAGGACTAGCAAACAAGGTGGACAGCGAGATTGGCGAACTGTGAATGCAGACAAAATCCAACACTAAAAAACTCGCCATGACCGCATGATGCCTGAAATTGAAGAAGATATTGATAATGGGTTGCCCTCAGAGGAGTACAAGGCCTGATACAACCTAGTGTCCCATCCTCTCGTACATAATGTCACTAACCCACCCAAAGACATATTGCAACCTCATAACCAGGAAGAAGAAGATGTGGTTCTTGCTCATGAACCATAGTATATAATGAGACCTCGAGGTTATGAGGACGAGTTGGTATGTTTTTATTGACCTACAAATTCTTATAGTCTTGTACTTGCCTATTAGTTTCATGAAATTGTTTAAATATATTAATTAGATAATCTTGTTTGTGCAGGTTACTGCAGTTCAGGCATGTACAGTCATGTTAGCAGAAGCATTTACACTTAGATAGAAGTGGAATCCTGAAGTGTATAATCGCGTTAACAACGCGTTTGTAATATTGTCTAAGTTTGTGCCTGTGTAAATGGATGACATAGAAGCCATGATGGAAAATTTACAACGTAAATATCATGATGAAGGTGTACCTGACGAGGCTAGACATGGTAGAGTGGGTGAAAGTAGTCGGGCTATAGAAGACCTAGCTCCATCCACACAACCAGCAGTTGAGGAGCGCAGAAGATATAACACATGATAGAAACAGTATC